AGAAAAATTAATATATATATATATATATATATATATATATATATATAAAAGTCATATTTATTAATACTAAATATAAGTAAATATTAATTAATTTAACTTTGCTTAATGCTATTATTCACAAAATATCCTTTTACTTTATTAAGGTTGTATTTATGATATTTTTTTAATATCAGATTTTAAGAAAGAAAAATCTAAAAAAATAACTTTTTTAAATGAAATTAGTGAAATTAAATAATTTTTTAATTGGCATGATTTTTTTTATACTTATATTTAGAATAGAAAATTTATTTATTTATTTATTTATTTTGATCAGGATAAAAAATATTATAAAAATAATCATAATAAAGATTGAATATAGATCTTCATATACTTAAACTTAAATATTTTTTAAATATTATATAAATGATCATAATAAAGATTGAATATAGGTCCTCGTATACTTAAATTTAAATATATATTTTTAAAATATAAAGGGGTAAGTGCCTCTATATGTTTTATACACACAAAAAAAAAAAAGTAGTACTTTTATGTAAAAAAGTGTCAATCTTAATTATTTACGGATAAAATGAAAACAAATAGAAAGCAACTAAATGAAACCACTATTCAATTAGTAAAATTTTGATACTTAAAAAGGATAAGCCATTTAGGTATTTTGATAAAATAAACAAAGACAAAAAGATTTATATAAAAATAAAAATCAAAGTGATTATCAAAAGAGATAAAAAATTTATATAATAATATAAATTATTTTTTTTTTAAAAATTAGAATAACTGTATTGAATTAGGACTTTTTAGATTATTTTTTAAGGGATTTTGTTTTTTCAGAGTGAAAATATTTTGGATATTTGTTTAACATTTTATCTCTTCTAACTTATTATTTTGGCTTAGTTATATTTTTATCTCTCAATATTATAATATACAATTTTGGTTTTTAAGATTTTAAGTGAGTAATTTTAGTTTTTTAAGTATCGTAATTATGTGATTTTAATCCTTCAAAATTTATTAAGTAATTTGAGTCTCTTAAATATAACAATTATACACTTTTTAACCCATAAAATATTATAATTATATAAATTTTAACTTATTTAAGTTACACATATTATATTTTTCATTCATATATTAAATTATATATATATTTATCATTACTAACAATTGTATAATTGTAAATAGATGAAAAATAATAATTTCATAAAGTTAATCTTATTATTAATAATTTTATTAGAAATAATGCAATAAAACAATAACTTTTTAAAAGATATTATTAGGGACTAGAAGAAAAAAAAAGACACCTCAATTTACAAAACATAAATATAAAAGTAATAAGTAATTATTTTAAGGGTGATAAGTTTAAAAATTGAATGTAAAGTTGAAATAGAAAAAAGAGAGAATAATTAAATAAAAAGACATGAGAAAATAATTTAGAAAGAGTTATAGAAGTACATTAATCAAAAATTTATATACACTAAAAAATATATTTCCTTTGTTAACAATAAAGATATAAATATAAATAATATATTTATATATTTATTTATTTATTTATTCTCAACACTTATTATAAAATAAAAGAAGTAATAATTATTTAATAATAATACTTTAAATTTTAAAATAATAATTACTTAATGAATGATGTTATTGATTTATTGAATTAATTAAATATTCTTTCTTAAAAAATAATTCATAAGGAAGAATTTTTATTATTATTCATTAAAATTTATTATAAACTATGAATGCATTATGAAAATTAATGATTAAGGATTAGGAGATGAAAGAGAGTGACAAAATAAAATATAAAAGATAAGAAAAAACTAAAATATATAAGCGAGACAAGAAAGAAAAAATATGAAAATTTGTAAATTTTTATTTTTTGGAGAAAATTTAAAATTCTAGTATGTTAAAAAAAATTATAAATACTTATATTTTAAATTCTTTAAAAATTTTCAATCCAAACGATATTTCATCTAAAAATATTTAAAATTCTTAAAAAAATAAATTATTTTATTTAAATTTTAAAAGTGATATATTCAAATTACAAACATTGGTTTAGACAATGTGAAATCATATTTACTTAATTTATTTGTCTTTGTATTTATTTTTATAAAAGAATAAACTGTTATCAATTAAATGCTTGTATAAGAAATTTTTAACTAATTTCAAAAGTTAACTAGTAATTGAATATTTGTTTCCAAGGAATATAATTATTAAAAAAAACATTTTTAATTTTGTTCATGTTAAAAATAGCCGTTGAAATTTGAAAATTTTGAAAAAGAATTATCTTCATAACTTTATTTATTAACCGAATGTATTTGTGTAGTCATTTATGCGTTGACTTGATGTTTGATGTACGTTTGCATGAGATTTTAGAATTTGGAAACGATAAATTGGGCACCGCTTGGAAACGATAAATCAGATATTTCGTGATGTGTGAAAAAATTATCACTCATGCCACATCTACGATGGTCTTAATGGGTAGGAGACTATGGCCCCAAACAGCACACGCATTTGCAAAAGCAAACTTTGTATTTATCCTTTATCCAAAACACATAGTATAATTGCTTGATAATTTAATATAATTTTTAAATTAATGGTAAAATATTTGATTTTAAGAAAACTAATAATCTTTAAGACTTTTCTTTTTGCTAATTTGTTAGGGAAATTAATTTCATTTAAATAAAAAAATGAATCATTTTTTAAAATAAATAATTTTGCAAACCTTGTCGATCAACATGCATTAGTTTATTCTTAATACAAAACAAAAAAATTTAATGTACAAAAGTTAATTTTAAAAACTTTAAAACTAAACCAACACATTGATTTATTACGTTAACGTTATTCATTTGGGTTCATTATGCTACAATTCCACAAACATGATTACGTTGATGTTCAAGTTCAAGCATTATGCCATGATCACAATGAGAAATATACGAATCTGTGTGTACTGTGGGCATCAAATGTTGATGAGAAATCGTCCAATAAAATACACCTTTTCCATAAGCAACCATGACCAACTATTAACTTAGTAATGTATATAACTGAGTTCATGTCGATATATTAACTTGGTGTCATATGTGGTTGAGATCATATCCTAAGCCAGATTGGTACACCAACAAATATACATATCGGAACCTTTAAGAGGGTGTGTAACTTAATTGGTTGAAGAGAGAACATAGGGTATTCTAAACTCTTATATCAAATGGGTAATAAAAATTGAGCACTGCAACCAAATTCAAAAGGTCTCGTACGTAACACTTTTGGTGTGAGAATAAACGCGGTTTGCTCAGTTAGTTGCGTCCACGAAACAGAGTGGTCCCCCACCCCCTCCTTTTCCTTTCCCTTTGTGATGGTTGCCAACTTTTGCTATGAATATCACTAACATTTATTGTTCTCATCCCAATTCATATATTATCCGTTTTCACAGTTGTATGTTCACAAGCAAACTGCAAAAGCAATTTATATTACACTTTAATTTTTGTGACACAAAATTGGTTAACAGCTAGCTTCTGTTACCGTGAAATCATCTGGAGTTTATACAGGAGTAATCACACGTGGTGCATGCATGTCATGATCAATGGAAGAAATAGTTAATACCCCTTTTTAAATCTCTAGCCAAATTTAAATATACAATTTCAAAGGTTTGTTTCTGCAACCTTCGGAATAAAGTGGAGAGTAAATTGTTCTTCTAATCAAATATATATTGTTATATCGGTTACGTACTAACTTGAACAAGACAAACACTCAATAGTACCTTAAGAACTATGGATATTTAGGATAATTAGAATAATAGGAAATCATGCAGAATTTTTTAGAAGTTATCTCCATAGAATTTGCAAACACAAGTATATAACCTCCTTCAAAAATTAAGTAGAGGTAAATTCCTTTTGGTGAATGTTGATCAGGACTGTTGCCAAGTTTTTCTACAGGAAGTTTTCCGTACCAAAACAGTTTTCATATATAACGATCATCTTTTTTTTTTTTACTTTTAATAATATGACCCCTTTTCTCTTAAGTACTTTAGAATGTGCTGAAGAGATATTAAGCACCGTTACTTACACGAGAGTAATTGGATCAATATGATATAATCTAGTTGCAAGTGCTTTGCTAATTATTAACTAGTTCTTTTTTCCACCAAAGTGTGTTGGCACTCAAATTCACTTATGGATCACCCATACACGGCACACAGAAAAATCTTGACAGTGGTTTGCAAGATCTATTGACGACGAAGATGCCATAATAGGTTTCATTTTGGTTCAAAATTGGTATCACTTTAGTTCCTCAGCAACACTGTTGTATATATTTTATACTCCTCAACCACATACACATACATCACATGCGGTCAAATCATTTTAATGATCCTTTAGATGGATGGCTGTGGTTCATACTCTTTATTCAGGAGCTAAAATGGGCCGTAAATCATTGTCTTTTGACTGTTTAGGAATTATAGGGACATCAAGTGGGAGGATCACTTTTCACAAGAAAAGAAAATTAAAGTGGAAGGATCACTAATAATTGTCGAGTATTAATCCAATTCATAAAGGCAACCTAAGTATATAAACAAGCATAGAGGCACCAATAGTCGTGTCCACGGATTGAGCGCAATTTTCTCACGCACCATTAGTAGTAATGGTAGAATGACATAGGTAATACTGACCATCATCAACAAATAAATAGTTTTTCCCCATAAATTAGTTTGATGAGAAATTAAAAGATGTTAAAATAAACAAGATTTTTAAGATAAAATTAGTGTGAAATATATAATCACAGCGGAATCTTCAAAAGCCATTAATAAAGATCGTAAGCAGAAAGAAAGTGCGATATCACTAAGAAGTTTAAAGAAATATAATATTATATTTCAGCATTAGTAAATATTGTAAGAAGTATATATATAAAAAATTATTAATCAATGTAATTCATATTATGAATTCAAAATATTTTTTTTAATAATTTAACAATAAAACACTAACAGAGTCATTTTTTGTGTACATCACAAAGTAAACTTTAGTTGAATTTGAATGAGTTATTTTTTCGCAAGTTAATAACGAAATATGATTAAAAATTTTACCAAAAAAAAAAAAAGCGTTTATATTTAATATTGGATTATGTCTCATGAATACACGTAAGAGAGAAAAATCAAACGATAGAAAAGATAATTTATGCATTATTTTTCTTTTATTTTACACCATCGTAAGTTATTCCATTTGTAGATTGCCTATTGATGTTATCCTTCCATACTTATCCCTCATGCAACTACAACAACCCACTTTGAGAAAGTGGCAACCTTTTCTCAGTCAAATACAAGCCATTGCTTTGCTCTGTTTTTTGTATTCAAGTCGTCACTTAGCATTAATTAATTACTTTATATATGGGAGAAATAGTTGGATTCCAATGTGAAAAAGTTTATCTTATTTAATTAATGCCATAAGTTAGAAGCACATAGAAGAATAGAATGTCCATACTCATTCAGGTAACCAAATTGACAATGTCATATAGACACATTTTAAAAAAATAAAAAATAAAGATTAAAATGAGCAATATTACATGTACAACAAAAATTATACAATAATATGTATAACATCACTTTTATATTTATTTCTTTTTATAATAAATGAAAACATGGATAAAAATGATTATAAAAGTAAATATTATACAAATTATTATATAATTTTCGTTTTACATGTATCATTATTTTATTAAAATATATATTGTTAATAGTGGTATGCCATAAATGGGAAAATACTCGAGAGGGTGGTGTAGTTATTCGAGTACCAAGCTCTCACGAGTCAGGTCCAGTTATGAAGCATAGACGGCATGTAATCAAAAGATGGGCCTTAAGTCCAATTGATCATCTTGTTTGGGCTAATGTGTAAGTGTGTAACAAATAGTGAGTAAACAGGTTCGTTTCGACCTGCTTAAGATCCTGCTTGTGAAACTCAAACTGAAACATGCATTTAAACAACTTCGATAAGTCTAATTTGCTAAATTAAGGCAAAAATCCATCGAATTCAAAATACATTTATAACAATATGAAAAATTCTAAATAAAAGATCAAAATCTTAATATATCCATACTTGCACATTCTAATTTTTTTTATATTAAAATCTTCATATTTTAAAAATTTAAAAACTCAAATATATCGATCAAATATCAAAATTTTGATATCTTATAAAATTTAAAAGTCTTATACATTAACTAAATATAGAAGTCTTAATGTTTTAAAAATAAACATAAATCATATTAGTGCAAAGCAAGATAACGTTGAAGTTCACTAGTTGATCCAAAAAAATTCTTACAACTATACAAATTAAAATAGAAAAAGGTCTGCACACGCTTATACAATTCAATAAACATATTATATTTAATTAATGTAATATTTAAAGTACTATAAAATTAATTACTTTATTTTTATTTATATTTATAAATTATGTATTATAATTAATGAATATAATATTAAAAAATAATATTTATTAACGATATTAAATATTATATTATTTTTCTGTCTTTGTGTACTTTCTTTTAATTCAAAGGAGGGCTAAAGTGCCTTTGTGTATTTTATTTTAATAATGAAATTACATACAATTAAATAAAAGCATCAAAACAATTAATTATTAATTTTTAAATGCGTTAATTTAAAGAATATTTTGCAGAAATAGAAAATTTAGTTGTGTTTTTTTCCTGTCCTTGCAAGATGAATCTTGGCATCAACAAAGGCTAAAGAATTTATGACCCATTCGGAGAAAAAAAGGAAGAAAAGAATTACGTGGTTGGTTTAGGTTTGTGATGGACCTAGTAAAGTCTGGAAAGAGATAGAAGAGAATCGCGAATAGTAGGATCGAGGAAGGCCATTGAAATAGTCCTGTAGTTTTAGGCTTCTATTCAACGCTAGCTTGGAAATTGGAATGTGAATAAATTCGGACCAAGTAAAGTAGTTTAGTATTCTCAATAACTCCAACAGTAGTGGGAAGAGAGAGAGAGAATCTTAGGAGGAAGAGGAATGGCGACGAATGTGTCAGAGAAGCAAGTGATGGTGGTTGGAGTCGACGACAGCGAGTTTAGCCTCTACGCTCTCCATTGGACTCTCGATCACTTGCTATCCCCTGCTTCCAATTCTACCTTCAAGCTTGTTCTTTGTCATGCCAAACCTACTGTTTCCGCTTCTGTCGGTTTTGTTGGCCCTGGTAACCGCTAATTGCTAACTCTTCTTTTCTTATTATTATTTTTTCATTCCTAATTCACCATCATCTCTTCCAGGTGCTGCTGAGGTCTTACCTATTGTCGATGCTGATTTGAAAAGAACCGCGGCCAAAATCACCGACAATGCTAAAGAAATATGCAAGAACAAATCTGTATGCTATTTCATTTCATGCTACCTATCAAATTCTATTTCTTAAATTTCCATGCTTTTCAACCTTTTCTATGCACCACCACGTATTTTATGTATGCATGCATACCACACACTCGTATTAGATGTATTAGAACTATATATGTTGTTTCAGTTTTAATAGTTTGAACGTGACATGCATTTGATAACGATGCATCATGCTCAAAGCTGCAAAGTGGTAGAAATAGCACTACCTATACTTGATTTTGTCTTCGTTTAATATTGGATTCGAGTAAACATTTTCTTCTTTTGGGGATATAAAAAGATACTGAAAATTGCTGAATGTTGCACCCATCTTTCTAAGAAAATTTGATTTGCCTTTTTTTCTTTTCCAGTTTGAGGGAAAAAGAAAAGAAAAAGAAAAAAAAATGCAGATATATAGGATATGACGCTATATCATTTAACTTCATATTTTTTATGTTGAAGAACATTAAAATTCTATATACTGTGTGGCTGTGTAAAACTATGTATTTATTAAATTATTATGTGATGGCTAAATTAAACAGGTAAATGACGTAGTAGTGGACGTGGTGGAAGGTGATCCTAGAAATGTTCTCTGTGAAGCTGTTGAGAAGCACCATGCTTCAGTGTTAGTTGTGGGTAGTCATGGTTATGGGGCTCTAAAAAGGTACGCGTTCATTCTAGTCCTAGTTATCTTTCTATTTCTTTGTAATGTACTAATGTTGTAGGTCATTCTCCTTTCTTTACATATTCTCTTTAATTAGTCTACTTTGAGACAGTTTTTCTTAGCAGTGATATTCTCCAATTTTTTAATAAGAGTATGTTCTCTTTTAGAGTTTAGAGAAAAGTGTTGTAATTTTTTTATATTTAGTGAAGTTCTTTCTTTTTGTGCGTTGCCTATTTTGTTCTTCTTTTGCTCGTTTTCTATTTTAGTTGTGAATTAGTATTTTGTTATATTATGACGATTATAAGAGTCAAATCTTCACTTCAAAATATCTTAATCCATCTTCGCTTTGACACTATCTTTATTTTGCAGGGCGGTTTTAGGTAGTGTAAGTGACTATTGTGCTCATCATGCACACTGCAGTGTCATGATCGTGAAGAAGCCAAAGCCCAAACACTGATCTTGTTGGCTGTGATTAAATAGCGGCATTAAAGCAATGAACATAAATCTTTTCAGCCAAAAGGAAAATAAATGTTCTTAAAAATTCATAGCATATCGTTTGCACCATGCCTCGCTGACTTTATGCTTTAAGGTTTTACTTTTTTATTTTCAAAGTTAGAATCGACAAATAATGTAAGTAAGCACAGTACTTTTTCCCTTCCCCGCCACCTGGTGGTGCTTGGTTTATTTTGTTCATGAGAAATTTTTATTAATGTTATTGTTCTGCGCCTATAACTTGTGATTCCGAAGCATTAAAATAGGCTTGCTTTTTTCTGGTATTAAGTTTACGAGCATGTTGAGAAATACGGTAACAAATTATATATCTTACACACTCTTCGAACATATAATCTTTTATGATTTTATGTTTTCTAATAAGTTATAACCATTGAAAAAGTATGTATTAAGGAAAAAAAAGTGTATTGACTCAATGGTTTTGATTTTTTTTTTTTCGCTTACATGTGTTGACAATCTTATTATTAATGAAATGATGGAACTTTCTTTTGATAAAAAGAAGGAAAAAAGTGTATTAAAAGATTCAATTCTCATTGTTATTTTTGTGGTTTGTGGTCCCTTAAAAAAAAAAAAAAAATTGTGGTTGAACTGGTTTGACCCATCGGTTCACTGGTCGGACCAGAAAATTGACCAGTTCAATTCGGTTTGAAATGAGTCAAATGCATAACCGATCTAACTTAAGGTTTGGACCGGCTGAACTACCGATTCCCGTTTCAACCGGTCTGATCAGCCGGTTTGATCCAGTTTTTACAACACTCCTATTAGACATGTCAAACCTCTTCAACACATCTAAGGCATACTTACTTTGATATATAGATCTCATCTTCCTTTTGTAAAATTTCAATTCCAAGCAAGAATCTCATTATGCCAAGATCTCTCATATCAAACTCCTTCATTAAGCTCTTGAAGGTACTCATTAAGTACTCATCATTATTCTTGTATACAAGATCATCAATATACACACTAACAATTAAATCCTTCCATTTGAGGAGTACTTCAAGAATAATGTTTGCTTATTATTGCTTTTTGTGAATCCCACACTAATGTAGTATGACCCAATTCAACAAAACCATGCTTTAGGGCTTGTTTCAGCCTACACAAAGCCTTGTGAAGCTTGTAAACCTTATTCTCATATCCCTTATGTTCATAACCTTTTGAATGCTCCACATATACATCCTCGGTTAGAGTGTCATACAAAAAAGCTGATTTCACATCAAGTTGAAACAATTTACATCCTCAATTTATTGTAATAGCTATTATCATCCTCATAGTATCCATTTTGCTTACTGGAGCAAACACATTTGTATAGTCCACCTTATGTTGTTGAGTGTAACCTTTGACTTCTAACTTTGCCTTATACTTATCCACTTGACCAATCTCATTCAACTTAGTCTTGTAGATCCATATAACTTCTATCTTCTTTGCTCTAGCTAGAAAATCAATGAGTTCCCATGTCCCGCTCTTTAGTATTTTTAGACTCTCAACTGAGCAAACTATGTAATTGAATCTGTTAGCTAAGGACCTCAAAATCTTCTCTATTATGATTATATCCTTCATTTGTTTCCCTTAAGTTCTCATCTTATTGGTCGTACTCATAACTCAAGAGAAGTAGTTAGTTACTCTCTCGGCTGATTTCATCTCAAGAATCTTAAATTATTTCCTTAAGCCTTGAAGAATTGACATTTTTACTCTTGCATTGTCCTCTTATTTTCTTTTCATCAGATCCCATATCTCATTGATGTATTCTTTTCCAAGATTGTCCTATCTACGGCTTGGAAAAACTAGTTCTTGACCTGCAAATCTTTTGATTTCGTCTCGTAATGTTTCTTTCGTTGATGTCCAACCATTACGATTTCCTTTTCTGAATCTTCAAACCTCACTTCCACAAAGCTCCAATACTCCTTGGATCTTAGGAAGTTTTCCATCAACATACTCCAACGGTCATCTAGACCATCTTAGTGAGGAATTGTTGGTTGCACAAAACTATCATTTGCATTCGACATTTTCTCTATCACACATTCGTATGCAACTCACTTTCTTCTCAGGCCTCCTCTAATGCCAAAAAAGTTAGGATCCAAAAGGAAAACAAAGTTAAAATTGTTGTAATATTTCACTGCTATTATATTCAAAAAACAATGTTTTATATAGCTACAAAGATGGCTATACATAACAAACAAAAGACGAACTAACATATAACAGATTTGATTACCAGTTTACAGCAAATTGTCATAACAGAAATGAGTTTGAATTGATTATTTTATAAGTTTGTAAAACTGTCACGTTAAATTATTATTTTATTAGGCAATGTTCAGTGGCTCCACAGTCCATAATACAGCTATCACAGAGATAAGATAAGATACTCCTACACATAACAAATGACACTAAATTGTAGGACAAGTATAAGATTCATCCAATCTAAAAAGTCTAAAACAGAAGAAAGTTAGAGTGAGTTTTTTCTCCACACAAAGTGACTAAAGAAGCAAGAGTGACGTGTCTTAATGTAAGCCATGTAAAAAGCACAAATAAAGCAATAAAAAAAAAAACGAAAGAAAAGCACCATTAGGGATGTTCAAGTGAGAAAAGGGTCCGAGTGAATTCGGTGTGATAGTGTGTGCGAAGATTATCCGACAACAACATCACGAATAATTGGCATCGTCCGAGCATTAGCAACACAGTGGTGGATCTCCGCAATGACTAATGAGCTCATACGCGTGAACATTTAAAGTAATAATATTCGAAAATAATGAAGAAAAGAACAAGTAGTGAAGATGGAAAGTAGACGAAAAATACATAAAAATGGAATGGAAATTAAGTGTACAAGGGAACATCGGTCCAGGCGCCGGAAACGTGACCGTTCTCACAAACGTAAGCCCGAACGACAGGCTCGCCGTCGTCGTGGAAGCCAAAGCCGCGCCTCAAGCAAAAGGCGGAGTGGAGATCCCAGGTGAACATGCAGGCACAAAAGGCGCAGGGCAAATCAAGCTTCATCTTGTTACCATCGTGAATGGTTCTCCAAACCCTAGTGCGCTTGAAGTTCTTGAAAACCCCTCGGAAGAGGCGGTACTTGCGCTTCTCCTCCTTGTGGACGCAGCCGGGCCAGTCGCACACGTACAGGCAGTCGTCGCGGAACTGCCGCGCCAGGAGCTTGCTCCCCTGCTCGCGGCTCAGGCTCCAGCTCCCCGACGCCAGGTGCGACCTCCACGCGCGGGACACCTTCCGCCTCTTGCACGCGCCCACGGAAACCACGCCCTCGCTAACCGTTTCCGCGAATCGCGGCGCATCGGACTCGGAGGCGTCGTAGAGCGTGTCGTAGTAGAGGTCATCGAAGAGGGACCAGCAGGAGGAGTTGGAATCGTGCGACTGAGGAGGTGCGGGCGGTGGCGGAGGGTCGGAGGGAGAGGGAGAGGGAGAGGGAGTGTCGGGGCCGAGGTCGCGTTCCAGGCCGAAATCGGAGGTGTCGAAGAGGAGGCCGGCGTGGCGGAGGCCGGGGCAGCAGACGGAGAGCTTGTGGAGGGAGAGAGGGGGATCTGCGGCGGAGAGGAGGTCGGAGGGGATGGTGCCGGAGCACTTGGTCTTCCAGCAGAAGTCCCGGATGAGGGCGGAGAATTTGGTGCAGACGCAGGCCAGGCGTGCCCAGTGGCGAGGATCCTCTTCCAGGTTGAAGAAGATGTTCAAAACGATGTCGTCGGTCAGTTCCGAAAACACGTTTTTCTCTTCCCTACTACTACTACCCATCTCTTTCTCTCTCTCTCTCCTTTGCTTTGCCTCACCATTCCATTATTAAATTATCTGAGACATGCCAATCACCAGTCACCACCATAAAAATTAAAAACCCCCTATTAAATTAATATTTAATTGCTTTTGCCTTTTGCGTTTACGTCATCCTACTTGCTTTATATATATAATAATACAGTCTGATAATTTTTATAAGATAGCACTTTATAATTTCTATGAACATTTATTTTATTTTATTTTCTTTATTATTGTGAATACATGTATTTTTCTCAGTAATTAAAAAGAATCTGAAAAATAAAGTAAATATTTTTTTCCTCATTTCTTAAATTCTTCTATTATCATTTGTTATATTTATTGGTATTAGTATGGAGATATTTCTCATAATAATTTAGTGATAAGATATAAGGTTGAAATGGGTATATTATAATAAATTTTTATAAAATTAATTAATTATTTTGATTTTTCTGATTTTATTATAAATTACCAAAAAGTATCTTGGTGTTATCTCTTTTAAATAAGTACCAACATGAATTTTTTTAACTAAACTTAAAGATTTAATTTAATACTTATTTACTATTGAATTTTAATATTATTTTTGTACTGTGCAAGTAAGTGAACAGATTATTTGAATAAAATTTTGATTCTGATTCTTGTAATAGTTTTGTCATCTATATAAAAAAAATTGAAAAAAAAATAACATAAAACGAAGAATAGCATTGTTCCAAAAAAATAACAAGAATAACATTATTGATATCCTTTTTCACATTAAAAGATTATTTAAATTTTAAATTACTTGTATACATTATGCATATCAGCATATGATACATACTAACCAGGGTCATAAATATAAATATTAAATATAATATTTATGAAATACATAATTAAATAAGAACACAAATTATTTAATGATTACTTATAAAAAAAATATTTACTAAAATATATTAAACATTCAATTAATACCTTTAATACATTCATTGATAGAAACATGCATACAATTATATCAAACAAGGATATATATATATATATATATATATATAATTTTAAAAAAAAATATATATATATAATTTTAAAAAAAATAAGAGAGAGAGAGAGAGAAGTTAATTGTAGTTACCTGGGATTAAAATGTTAAAATTAAATTTTCGTATCTCCCATTCTTACTTGATATGTGTTTAACAAGAAAAATTAAATTGATTTGTTAAGATTACTTTATTTTTACCCATACCCACTCTCATAATATACTTAAAAAGTTCAGGTCTATGTAATATAAATATTTAAAAACACAAAATTTTATCATTTATAAAAGTTTTATTTATCTCATTATCTCCGTTGAGAGACACTCCATCTAAAATGAAAATAAATAATGCATGTAACTAGTGTTTCCGCAGTTATTTCAATGTTACACTAAAATTTTAAGGCAAGCAACGTTAACTAACTTTCAGTCGAAGTAATTAACTTATCTTAGTCATGAAATTGAATATTAAATACTATTTCAGACTTTAAAAAAAAAAAAAAAAAAAAA